GTCCTACTCTCTTTGAATTTACAATTAGCATTCCTATTTTAAGGAGTTCTTCATCCTGAAACAAAGTTGCCATCATTTAATTTGCGCTAGTGGATCTAACGGAACTATCAGTATCATTAACGATTGTTATCAGGAAGGTATACTGACGTTCCATATTATAATGATCCAAACGTATAGTCAAAACATTATCATTATTACTCAACTTGCTTAAATAGCGTTAATAAATCAGTTAAAACCGCTATGTGAACCAAAAACTTGACCAAATAAATTTTCAAAGATTGCATACTTTTCAGGCTGTTTTAAGGATCACGTTTAGAATAAAGAGAACAATTCCGCACCTTTATGCGGAATTTCCGCACTTTGTCAGCACTTTTGGCCCGCCTTCAAAAGATTAGTGCATTCCCAAAAAATTAGCATTTTCCGTACCAGTAAACGTACTGACCTGGTCTATGCATGTCGATTGTACTAGGGTCCCTTCATAGCGAAGGTATGATGGACAGGTGTGAGACTCTGAAAATCCATCAGGTCTTTACCGATGCCTCCGCAAATGCAGTTACTTAGGGCCCGAAAGGGCAATCAACCTATCAATTCAAAATATTCAGAACGATTTATCATTACAATTGTTACGACCCGTCGTTCGTAGAACACGTATTAGACTTCGTTTTTGCATGAATTCCCTCATTTTTGTTAAGGAATGCTCATTTATGAAGATTCTTGGCCATATTGGTTGGATATTGGCATCTGAAATTTTGCGTGTTTGACGGTTGGCTGCCCTTTTTGGGCCGTAAGCTCTCTATGAGACGATCCGTCCATACTCTCGTTTAGGGTGGCAAAATTTCATGAAAAAAAAAAAATCTTGAAATTTCACGTAAAATGCATACATTAAATGCAATTTCAGAAATTTATGAAAGAAACGAAATGAAAAATACCAGTTCCTTTTCATGTTTCACAAAATGTAAATATCGTGACTTTCCTCTACTCTCGCGTGTTTAAGTGCGGGTTGCATACTCTAGCCCCTGAAAATATTTCATAGCCTCGCGAAATTTCGAATCTTTCATTTCTTTCTTACGTTTCATGCCACCTTTCTCTCGCTATACAGGTGCTCTAGACTTTGCCCTTTCTGACTTCTGAAATTCATCTGGGTTGCAACGCTGCGAGGCTGAACTCTCACAACAAAGAGACTTTAGCGTTTACCTGACATTACGCAGTGCACGCCCGACCCAACGGGACGACCGCCTTACTGGACCAGATAATGAATAATAAAATCTATAAACGACCGCGAGGGATTAGTCACACTCAAGACGGTTTTACATAGATTGATTTGAGTGCAGTCACCGACTCAACGCTGGAGCCGAGCGGAATCTAGGCCCCGGGGGCTCGTCAAGGCCGTCTAAAGTTTGCACTAATTACGATTAAGGACGTCCGAAATCCCATGTGGACGTATCTCTGCCGAACGGAACTATGTGCACTAAGACGTGAGCCCTGAGACCCATAAGAATATATGCATAACAGGGCTCACGTCATAATGCACTTAGTTCCGTTTGGCAGAAATACGTCCACGTCTCATTAGTATGGTCATTCGATAACTTCCAATGGGGCCTCAGGGGAGCAGTGTTGATACGTAAATATTTCTCCTTTGCGAATGATACACTGGAAAAAAGTCTCTTGCATCCAAAGTTGAGACTCTTGAAAAATTTGACTAGAAAAAATTCTCTTGGAGTTTTGCTTGGATCAAAATAAAATCCGCTTAAATTAAGAGATTTGGCTCTCGATTCAAGCGAAAATCAGATTCAATCACGAGTATTTTTTCTTGTCAATTTCTGTAAAAGTTTGAACTTTGGATCCAAGAGAGTCGATTCAATCGGATTTTTGCTTGAATCAAAATGATATCCGCTTAAATTAAGAGTTTTGGCCCTCGATTCAAGCAAAAATCAGATTGAATCAGGAGTATTTTTTCTTGTCAATTGTTGTAAAAGTCTAGACTCCAGATCCATGGGACTTATTTTCAAAGTACAATTTAGGTGCAACTTTTCATGCAGTTTCAAAAACACCTCCAAAATATTAACTTCATTTATAGGAGCTGAGAATGCAACCCGAACACAAATAAATTTTAAGCGCTGATTGTAGAAGGGGCATCTCTCAGTCGTGACGTCTAAGAATGCCAATTGACGTTTCATCATAGAACTTTTCCGAAACGTTTTCTAAAATTTTTTTTCATGATTTTCAAGTGCCCTGAACTGGAAATTTTGAAACTTCACCCGATAGTTTTCTCTTAAAAATTAAAAATTAATAATGAAAATTCTAAGACACTAAAACCGAGAAGTGCCTCCTTTGCACCCAATGCCCAATTGGCTTCAATATTTTGATATTATTTATTTCTCCATTACGATTAAAAAAAATTGATTCTGTTCCGTTCAATGTGCCTCACTCAGCACTCAATCTTCATAGAAAACAAAAAGAAAAAGAAAAACTGAAATAGACATGATCATCATTTCTATTCTTATTTTTGTTCCTTCTTTTAACAATTAATATGACCATTGAGGACCTAAGTTCAGTAGGAATTCAACCTCAAGCGTTGTTTATATGCTAATTATAAATAATCATCTCTATTGCGACAGATTATTAGATGCACAAGAGTATTCTTTCAAGTCTTCCAAATATTATAGGAGATATTTCACGAGTCAAGATTTCATTTTTTACGAAATTTAACAACACTGCAGGGGCACATTGCATCATTTTCCAAAATTTTGCATCAGGTAAGAGATAGCTATCCTGGAGTCATTGATTTGCCGGCGCAGCCTATTGGCTAGTACCTCAGAGGCTGGCTAATCGGGTTTCAGCATGATTCACCCCTCTCTTCGGTTCTCAGCTACTAAATACCTTGCTCGTACACCTGATAGGGCTTGGCCGTTTTACTTGCAGACCTGGTTGCCGAAATGGCTCCAAAATGCGCGAAAAAAGCTTTGCGTGGAAATATTGAAACAAATTTCATTTGCGTACATTTTCTATGAATGCTATTTTAAAGTATGATATCAAAGGCCCATTGCAGACTTTTTTTCTTCGTGCAAGAATGAAAGAGGAGAAAGAGAATTATTAGAAGGGGAAAAATTGAAAGGAAATACAATCATTATTTCCAATTGAAATATAATGTACGTGTATCTTTTTTTACAGCAAGTCAGCGGAGGTTTACTTTAGAACTACAATTATCTGTTTTAACTCATGAAGCAGACCTTGTCTGCCGAACTTAGTCCATTGATTAAGAGTCAGTTCTACGACCTCTGATTAAATTTGACCAATTGTCAGAGGAAAACTGTAAAGGCTTTTTATGGCTTTTAGGGCTTGTAAGATCCGTACATCTGTGAAACGGAACCAATCCTTTCAAAAATATCATTTTGAGTTATTGGCACCACTGCATTGAATTAAACAAATTGGCACTTTTAGCGCAAGTTAGACCCAAGAAGCTTAAAAATAGTGGGTTATTTGACATTCGTAAGTTCCACGATAAAAAGTTTGTAGTTTTAAGCTGAATTATTAGGTTAAAGTTTTATATTTTTTTTTAATTTCATTTTTTTGTTTGTTTGTATTTTTGATTTATTTGTGACTTTGAAGAAAATAATATTATAACGTAATCAGGTACATAGTTTAACAAATGAAAGGCAAGTTAGACATTTGAGGAAGACATTCGGAAAAAGACATAGAAAAATATTTAGATTTTATTAAAGTTCTTAGAATTCTGACTTACAGAGGGAATAGGAAAAGATAGCGTCCTTCGTAGTGAGAAAATTAAATTAAAGCCGCGCAGATTGTTCCAACTTTCAAAGGCGTCTACAAAGCGCTCCCCGTGGAGAACACAAAGTCACCACTTTCAAAATTTTTCCCTGAATTTAACACTCTAAAAAGTTTTTTCCCAGAAGCTGAGGTCACCCTTTACACAACCATATAGGTCTAAGGACCGCAAATATGCCCTCTTCACACTATCAAACATTTCATCCGACATAATGGAACAAAAAGTTGGATGGAAAGATGAACACAAAACAATTTGATTGAATCACTCTCTGTCCGACTTTCCATCCAATTGGCGGCGCCAATTTTTGCTTCTTGAAAGTTGAACGAAAAGTTTAATGTGTCGCATTCAAGTCTCCGTCCAATTTTTTATCAAACTGTCGTTTTTTCGTGTCAGCACCACACTATTTTAACTTTCCATTCGATAAGTTTCATTCAACTTTTGAATGAAACTTATCACTGAAAAAAAATTCTCAGCGTTTTTACCAAGGTCCGTTGGTACCTTTACCATCTCACTTTTTTGACCAATTATTGGTAATTTTACCAAGACAGACTGGTAAGCTTACCTAAAAACCGGTATTTTTACTGTTTTTTTTTTTTTTTTCAGGTAAGAATACCACTTTTATTGGTAATCAATTCCCGGTAACTTTGCCATATATCTACCACAGGCGATAAAAAATATTGGCGTGTTTACCAAAGTCCAGTAAAATTACCGAGAAATTTCAATAATTTTACCTCGGTAAAATTACCAATTCCATAAATGGTAATTTTACACAGGAAAAAACTGGGATCAAATAGTACCCTGAATTCTTAGTTCTTTTACCCTTTTCTTAGTAAAAACACCGAGATTTTTTTTTTTCAGTGTAGAAAGTTTGATAGTGTGAATTGGGCTTAAAGGTCCGAGGTTTTAACCTTGAAAATAGCCCTAACGTCGGCAACGCTGGCCCGATATACCGTTTCCGTCGGCCAACAGCAAACACGGTATGAAGGATTCGCAAATTCCGGTACGCAGTAGTCGCTGGCACCGGGCACCACCTTCGAATAGTCCCGCAGGGGTAAGAACTCGGTCCAGTAACTGATCTAGATTATGCAACTCGGCTATCCAGCCCCCTTCCTCCCCCCGCCACGAGCCCCCCTCGCCACTCATGACCATTGTCTATCCTTCCTCCGAGCTCCCTTTCATATAATTTCCAGATTGGGTCACTGTCAAGGTCTGAATTATTGATAATAGTTAGCTGAACACTACTCTTTTCAGCTATAAAACCGAGCCGACCGGCCGACCGAATTTGCATTTAACGTTTAGGTTTACACTCATAACCACCGATAAAAAAAATACCCCGTTCAAAAATGGCTTTTAAGGTAGGTTCGAGTTTTTTTTTCGATCGTGCGTGTTATCAGTGATTGTGTCTACACTAGCTTCTTGTTTTACTATTTCGTGTGCATTTTTTTATATTTACGGATGGACTTTGGACTTAACTTTTTCCCATGCTGAAGTTTTTTTTTTTTTTTTCGTGAAAAAGTGATTTGTGAAACATACCTACTGGACGCTGAAAATAGTGACTGTGTTGTGTTACCTCTACTACGACAAAACCAAACCTTCATTTCCTTCGTTGCTGATTAGTTTTTTTTTTTTTCTTCTTCTTTTTTTTCTTTCTACTTGTATTACAAATTTGAACGAAAAGTGCAAAATGGACGTTTTTCACTTATAACGACAAGAACGAGGGAACTGCGATTATGTATCGTAGCAAAACTTCACTCAGTGACGACACGAACAAAATATAAGTATTTGGGTGGAATTTGTTTTAAAATAATCTAATGAAAAAATCCCTTCTGCTTTAAAGCTGACAATTTTTACAGGATCTCCTGTTCACATTAAAGGTAGAGATTAAACATTCTCAATAATAAAATGGAGTTATATTCAGGGTTTTTCTTCACAACTTCTTTGATATTATTTCTAATTATTAATTGCCCTATCAATCTTTCATACATTATAAGTAAACTGTAAATATACTTGTTTTATCAGCTTAACTGCTCAGAGCCAAGTTTGGTCTAAGTTTATGAATATGTTTGATTAGCATTCATAAAATTGAACCTAAAAACTAAAACTAAAATGATCACCTTAAAAATAAAAAGTTACTGATTTTTTTTGAAAAATAAATAATTAAAAAATTACTTTCTCAATTGCGTCAATTATAACGCGTGAATCTAAAACAGCCAAGATCAATTCTGTGTTAATTTTTAGCATATTAAAATGATTTAAAAAATAATGAGATGTTTTACATAGCCTGATTGATCAAATTTTCTATCTACGCTATCATCTCTATCTCAGTTGATAAAAAGAAATTCATATATGGTGATATCAATTGAGGTTTTTCAAAACTGACTATCTTTCTTAATGTGCGTTTAAGCCTCCGACGCTAATCTAATGTCTATAGCCAAAAATTACTTTGGAGTCATTGAATGTTAAATATTTCTAATATTGAACCTTCTTCCGCGCGTTATCTAAGCTTTATGATATACATAATTACATAATAACACTTTCTGAGCCTCATTTCGGCGTCTTAAAGTCTATGCTTATAAAATTTTCTCTCTCTACTAGATTCATTTCCTAAGTCAATATTTTTCTCTGCCAGGTAATTGTTCATTTGTTTTGTGTTCGGATCAATGGTAAATTGGTTCAACAAGTGAACATTTATTAAAAAATATAAGATTTCTCCATTACAACTTAACTATAGTGATAATAGTTTTAAAAAGATGGATTAACGAGCTATGAATCCAAAATAAGATGCTCCACATTTTATTTCACTGCAGACCGACAACATAACAAATTGATTTATTTTAAAGAGGAACCTTATTTAAAATTCTTAAAGAATGATTGCAAGTAGTTGAATCTAGATTCATAGCAAAAGTATTGCTAAACCTCATGAAAAACCACTCTTCAGATATGAACAAAGTTATCATTTTTAATTATCTTCTCAACACGAGACTCTGCCTAATTGTTGCCAGTATAAACACAATTCCTCAAAAGCAACGTGGATCGTTATATTTTGATTAAATGAGATCAAATAATGTGTGATAATTTAAGTAGCGGGGTTGAAAGCTACTGACAAATATGTTAAACCTACTACAACTTCTAGATGCATGGGAAGAAAAAAGTATACAAACTGTATCAGCTACCAACACGTGCCATCTAATCTTCATCACTTTCTCTAAATTTTTCCTCCTATAAAAAGTCTCGGAGCGTACTGCAATACGAATTGTTTTCCATTCTTGAGGATTTAAATTTGACTTTTTACACAACTTTGACTTGTTTCAAGGACACTCCGGAAATAGAGAGGCTCAAACATATCTTGAAGTGAAAGTTCACGGGGTATGCCTTGTACTGACCAATTTAGTTTTTATACATGCAGAAAGCACTACCACTTTTCCTTAAAACATCAACTCGTTTTTCAGTCAACTTGGTCGTTTTCAACAAATATTACGCTTAACCAACTTAAAAGAGGGTCGGTCATAGGAGTCGTATATACACAAGGGATATACATGTACATCAGTCACACTTGTCGCCTCACTTAACAGACCTTCCGGTTCCAATAACTTAGAAATTGATCTGAAATGAGATAGCCTTTGGTTAAAAAAAACTATGAGTTTATTTTAATGAACCGAGTAGAGCAGCCGATTTAACTGTATGTACGTGCTGCTCATACGATTATTTCTTTTCTCTTTCATTTTAGCGTGCCCGCTAGCAAGCTGGTGCGCTTTTTGCAGTCCTTTATTTTTTTCGTGTGGTCCCAATATAAAACGTATCTACAATATAGCAGCATGTCATAGGATAATATTTTGTTCTGATGCTTCCATTTTTCAATTTCTGTTGCAGTTATGTATCTTGGCTGCCCTCGTGGCTATTGTCAACTGCCAATACGGCCCAGCATACAAACCAGCCTATGCTGCCCCAGCATACGCCCCCGCCTACAAACCGGCCTACGGAGCCCCCGCATACGCCTCCGCCTACGTCTCTAAGCCCGTAGCCCCAGCATACGCCGCCCCCGCCTACGCCGCCCCCGCCTACCACGCCCCCGCCTACGCCGCCCCCGCTTACCACGCACCCGCCTACGTCGCCCCCGCCTACAAACCAGCCTACGTTGCCCCAGCTGCCTACCACGCACCAGCATACGCTGCCCCCGCCTACAAGGCCCCAGCTTACGGATACTCTGCACCCGCCTACCCTGATGCCCACCCCGCCTACAAATTCGCCTACGAAGTGAACGACCCATCCACCTACGATGTCAAGAGCCAGGAGGAAGAACGTGACGGAGACTACGTCAAGGGATCTTACTCTCTCGTCGAAGCTGACGGTAGCAGACGTGTTGTAACTTACGCCGACAACGGATACGGTTTCGAAGCCGTCGTATCCAAGGAGCCCGCCTACGGCGCGAAACCCGCCTACCCCGTAGCTCCCGCCTACCCAGTTGCCCCCGCCTACAAGAAGTAGATAGTACCAAAAACCCTTAGCTAGCTCATCTCATTTTTCAATTTCTTCATAGCATTTCATCTGTACATATTCGTTATTTATTTTAAATTCTCATCCAACACACTCGTCAATAGTAGCTCAATAAATGAATTTAGTCCAAGAACTACAAAAAAATAGACTCCGTTTTTCTTCTCCTTTCATGTCTCTTTTTCCAAATCTTGAATAACTAAAAATATGGCGATTAGCTAAACAAGCAACGAGGAATATGCAACGTCGTAAATCGGGAAAGAAAATCTCGTTTAAAGGCAAGCAAGAAATTAATGTGTAAATATAAAGGATTATTAACAAGGTGGAGAAATGGTGATGGATCCACACCATTTCACGAGGAAGACAGAGCCACGAAATGCCAGAAATGTTTCAATTAGAGGCAAAACATTGTTTTACTCTAATCGAAAAGTGTTTGGAATTTCTTGGCTTTCTTTTCCAGAATGGTGTGGACCCTGCACCATTTTTCCACCTTCTTACACACAGTTCCGGACATTTCTTATTATATTTTCTCGGAAAATTATTAATGCATATACTTTAAAGAACATAACTATGGCAGATCTACAGAGTCATTCTTTTATTTTTTGTTTGCGCCCGATCAATACAAAATCGCTCAATTTATCAACTGGGAATTATGTACTTCTACGTTCCCAGAATATTTTTATTTTGAATAAGAAAAAAATTAAAAATTTGTAAAACGGTTGCTTGCCGCTCTTAAAGAAGGGGTATTTTTCAAAGTTTCCGAAAGTTGGTAAATTGATACCACGAAAGATGTCAGTTCAGCGTTACCACTTTCACCTTAGAGCTTAATTCCTGAAAACAACACAGATTAAGGTATCGAAGAAAAATAATGTGTTTTCAGTAATAAAAAATGAAAGGAGTATCAGAATATACCACCAAAATTGACAAAATATTCCGAAAGGTCGAATATTCATATTAACAGTCAATGATATGGTAAGTAGCAAAAACATATAAATTTTTGCTAAGTAAGTGTTTTTGGGGGGTGATAAAAATTAAATTTTCCGGGGAATAAATTGGTGCAGGATTGGGAAGGACCAAGGTCTTTTTTTTTCCTGACAGCTAAACAGATCTTGTACATGATCGCACAGCGAACTAACAGAACTTTCGAACATTTTCTAATAGCGGAATAGCTTAGGCCAAACGACGCGTTCCCCTTAACCAGCATGTTGAAAATTTCAGCTTTCCTGCAACTAAATATTCGAATAAAAGCTGAAAATGACCTTCCTTTCCTTCAAACCTCTTAGTTTTTTTTTCTTCATTTGGTGCTCACATTTTCCAAATTCTCTCTAAAACTAAAAAGAAAACCCGCTTTACTTTCCAAAATCAATTATTTTGAAAGTGTTAGGATCTAAAAACATTACCACGGTCATTTTCAGCTACGGTAACAGAATATTCGTGGAATGGGTTCCACACTGGACCTGAAAAAAAGTATTACTGAGAACGCAATACAGTCACTTAAGTATTACTTGGATTGAAGTCGGTAAAATAAGACGTTTGAAAAATGGCCTTCGGCTGCGACAAAGAGCTTGAAAAATTAAAGGGATTTTTTTCTATAAAGACCAATTAGAGGCCATTCAATTACCAAAGGTAATTGAATTTCGTAAGATGAACTAAAAATCAAATTACGTACATGAAACCAACTTTCTGCAGCACTGTCTGGCACCCTGAGATACCTAGCCGCCAAACTCTCCTATCCTTCGGAAGCTCTTCAAGAGCTGGGGGTCCTGACTGTAAGGGCCCTACTCATGAGAAAATTGCCTTGAAAAAAGGGGGAAATTTTCTATTTACGACCAACTAAAGTCACAATTTCCTGGATTCTCTCAATGGATCACTGAACAACAAGGTCTGATTTAGAAGACAATGCCCCATGCCTCCTCTTCAAAATCATACAAGGAAAACGATTCACACAACGAAAATTTCGAAAATTAACACCTTGACAATATATTGCCCAACATTTTGAACACAGATCAAATGGAAATTAGAGTTTACAAATAACGTCATTTGTATTTTTTTCCATTTGACGAATGCTAATTTATAACTTCAATATATTATCTAGAAGTTGATTTCCAGACTTTCCGTTGTGTGATTCGTTTTCCTCGTGATATTTTGAAAAGAGAACATGTAATGTAGTCCTTTAGCTCATACCTTGTTTAGTGGCCCATTGTTTATACAAGCAAGAAATAGATGGTTCGAAAAAATGTTTTAACTTTTCAATGGACTTACGGCCATGTGCAATTAATAATTGATTTAATTCCTAGGAATAATATCGACATATTTCTGTGTATTTTTACCTGCCGCGCCAAAAAATACCTTGGTTTTTTCCTGTTGTGCACCAGACATTTCTGGAAAAATTCTGACTTTGCGCAGGAAACCTCACTTTCTTGAAACATAATGTCTCATGCATCACCAGCTGCGACACCGCACATACCTTGGTCTCATCTACTGATGATACCATTTGCTCTGCCTGCTCTACATGCATCGCTGATAAAAAACTGCAGAAAAAGAAACAAAGAGACACAGTAACGCGCGCAGTGGATGGCGTCATTCAATTAACATGTTCCATAGCAAAACAGGATCAACATTTATGTTGAATTAAAAAAAATTAGCAGAGGGGATTTTTTTTTTCTTGGACCGTTTGGGGAGGATGCTGTTAATGATAACGGTGATCGGCTCATCTCAATTTGTTCTCAAACTGAGATGAGAATTTTGAATGGCTTTTTTCAACACAAAGACATCCATAAGTATACCTGGGTCCAGCCAACGCGAGGATTGAAATCCATCATCGATTATGTGATTGTTAAGCACTCTACTAAGCTGAAATTGCAGCAAGTTAGAGTGTGCAGGGGACTCTCCTGCGGCAGTGACCATCATTTCCTCCGAGCAGATATAGCGTTTCCCGTTAAAGGAACTAAGGATGTAGAGCCAGTGCCTGAACAACAGCAGGGACAGGGGATGCAAGAGCGTGAGGTAAGATACAACATCGAAAGTTTGCAGCACCCTAGTGTCAAGGCTCTGTATCGGAAACGCTTGGATGAGAAGTTGGGGGATGGGCTTTCGGGTACCACTGAAGAGCAATATCATTTCATTAAAGATTGTATCCACTCTGCAGCTAAAGAAGCCCTAGGTATTTGCAAAACCAGTAATAAAAAGCAGCATCCTTACTGGTGGGATGAAGAAATTGAAGACGAGATAAATCTCAGGAGGCAAAAACATCTTATATTTCTGTCGTCTAAAAAGGCTGAAGATAAAGTTGCTTACAGGAAAGCTCAGTCTAAAGTTAGGAGCCTCATAACACGGAAGAAGAATGAAGCTTGGGAAAGCAACTGTTCTAGAATTAACACCTACCTAGGGGGGAGAAAAAGTGCTGAGAGCTGGAAGTTAATTAAAGGTTTACGTAGAGACATGAAGCGCGACATCATTTCTCCGATATCACTTAAAAAACTGGAGGATCATTTTAAAGATCTTTTGACGGAAAGGCGCCCAGAGTTTCGAGACAGCAGCACGGACAACGGAAGAATGAACAACTTGGAGATTCACACTTGTGACATAATTAAAGCGGTTAAAGAGCTAATTAATGATAAAGCGCCGGGTCCTGGCGGGATTCCTGTTGAGTTGGTCAAGTACGGGACTGCCAAGCTCTTTGAGTGCCTCAGGAAACTGATGCAGCAATGCATCAGGGGTGACGAGGTACCAAGGGAGTGGAAGGAGTCCTGGATCAAGGCCATCTACAAAAAGAAGGGAAGGAAGGACGACTGTAACAACTACCGGGGGCTCTCAGTGACCGGGACAATAAGCAAAGTGTACGGGAAGATACTGAAAGCGAAGATCGAGGACGAATGGCAGGATCACGAAGCAGAGGAGCAGGCTGGTTTTAGAGCTGGCAGGTCTACGATAGATCACCTCTTTGTTATTGTCCAGGTCATTGAGAAGAAAATGGCCGTAGCTCAGGAGCTGCATTTAATTTTCGTGGATCTCCAGAAAGCGTATGACAGTGTGCCGTTGGTGAAACTTTGGGAGGCCTTGGAAAAATCGAATTTTAATGGGGGGTTGATTGATGCTGTCAAGCGATTTTATAAAGGGAGTTTTACCAAAATTAAGTATCATGGGGGGTTGTCAGCGGGATTTTATGTGACTAAGGGTTTAAAACAGGGATGTTGTTTGTCGCCAACATTATTTAAAATTTACCTCGAATGTGTGCTAAAGGAATGGAAAAGGAAGTGTTCTGGTATGGGTGTCCCCTTGGGTGATCTTGAAACTCTGTTCACTCTGTGCTTTGCTGATGACCAGGTGGTGGTTGCTCAAGATCAAGAAGACGCGGAGTACATGATGCGCAAGTTAGTAGAAGAATATCGGAAGTGGGGTTTGGAAGTCAGCATATCCAAATCTGAGAAGATGACTTTTGGTGGTGATCAGCAAAGCATTGAGTTGGAGGATGGGCAGCAGATCAAATGCTGCGAGCACTTCAAGTACTTGGGAGTGCGGTTGACCCAGGATGGAAGGACGGATCAAGCTATCAGGGAAAGGAACACCTTAGCAAGGAAGGCTATAGCGATGTTAAATGGAATCCTCTGGGATCAGCGGATTTCCAAAGATAACAAGAGGAGGATATACAACGCTGTAGTAAAAAGTATATTAACATACGGATGTGAAGTTTGGCAGCTGAAGAAACGGACACAGGATATGCAAAGAGCAACGGAGATGGATTTCTGGAGAAGGTCGGCAGGAATTTCTAGGAGAGATCGGGTCCGTAATGATAGAGTGCGTCAGATAATGGAAGTCGAAAATGACATCGTGTTCGACGTCATGACCAAACAACTTGTTTGGCATGGTCATGTCAATAGGATGACGGAAGAGAGGCTGCTAAAAAAGATGCTTGATTGGGTTCCTCTTGGGAGGAGGCGTAGGGGACGCCCAGTGAGAGGTTGGCGACAGGGGGTGTTAAGTGAGATGAGGGAGTGTCAACTCCCTGATAACCTGTGGGAAGACCGAGCTTTGTGGCGATTAGGTGTCGCAAAGCGCCAAAGAGCGCTATAACAGCGGCTCGTATGTATGTATTTTTTTTTTCTTTCAAGCAGTCGTTTCCTGGACGCAGGAGCATAATTCCATTT